ATTCATGAGAGACACACACACACACACACACACACACACACAGAGGCAGAGACACAGGCAGAAGGAGAAACAGACTCCATGCAGGGAGCCTGATGTGGGACTCAATCCCAGGACTCCAGGATCACGCCCTGGGCCAAGGCAGGCACTAAACCACTGAGCCACCCAGGGAGTCCCAGGGACTATCTTCAATTGTCTGATACCTTTCCCTGGAATGATTAGGGCAGAGGAATATTGCCTCCTTTTTTTTTTTTTTTACTTGAAAAGTACACTTTTTTTTTTTTACTCTGCCAAAGGTCGAGCCTTTCCTTTATTTTTTATTTTTTTAATAAATTAATTTTTATTGGTGTTCAATTTACCAACATACAGAATAACACCCAGTGCTCATCCCGTCAAGTGTCCCCCTCAGTGCCTGTCACCCATTCACCCCCACCCCCCCGCCCTCCTCCCCTTCCACCACCCCTAGTTCGTTTCCCAGAGTTAGGAGTCTTTATGTTCTGTCTCCCTTTCTGATATTTCCCACACATTTCTTCTCCCTTCCCTTATATTCCCTTTCACTATTATTCATATTCCCCAAATGAATGAGAACATACACTGTTTGTCCTTCTCCGTTTGACTTACTTCACTCAGCATAATACCTTCCAGTTCCATCCACGTTGAAGCAAATGGTGGGTATTTGTCGTTTCTAATGGCTGAGTAATATTCCATTGTATACATAAACCACATCTTCTTTATCCATTCATCTTTCGATGGACACCGAGGCTCCTTCCACAGTTTGGCTACTGTGGACATTGCTGCTAGAAACATCGGGGTGCAGGTGTCCCGGTGTTTCATTGCATCTGAATCTTTGGGGTAAATTCCCAGCAGTGCAATTGCTTGGTCGTAGGGCAGGTCTATTTTTAACTCTTTGAGGAACCTCCACACAGTTTTCCAGAGTGGCTGCACCAGTTCACATTCCCACCAACAGTGTAAGAGTGTTCCCTTTTCTCCGCATCCAAAATAGAGAAAGTGGTTTGGAGTATGGGCTCTGGATCCATTAGTTTGCTCGGCAAAGGCACACTCACAGTCACATTATTTGCTATCTTTAGGAATTAGCTAAACCTGGGAGGGGCAGTCCCTGCTTGGATCTGCAAGGTCCCAAGATGTCAAAACATCACAAAACAACAGAAAATAGAAAGCATGAACGATACACAGGAATTCAGATAGTGCACAGTGGGCATGGCTTGTCTCTGCCCTGTGATGTCAGGACTTCAGCCAGAAGTCTGGAAGGCTGAGATTGCCTTGACAGCTGGGGTTAGAATCATTTGAAAGCTCACTTCGTGTATCTGGTGCCTAGGCTAGGAGAACCTGAAAGCCAGGACTATTGACTGGATTCTCAATGTGACCTGGAACATAGATGTCTTCCATGGTGGCTCAGGGGCACAAGTGAGGTCTAGTGAATAAGGCTCAAGTGTCTTTGTCTTTTGGACAGAACTTAGAAGTCATACAGTATGGTTTCTGCCATCCTGCCATCCTTGCCCAGATTCAGGGAAAGGGGACATAGACTCAACCTCTTGATGGGAGAAGAATCAAAGAATTTGCAGTTCCACCACCACAGAGTGGAAGTATAAGTTACACCCTAGCAGTTAGTTAATATGCTTCAGGGATCCCTGGGTGGCACAGCAGTTTGGCGCCTGCCTTTGGCCCAGGGTGCGATCCTGGAGACCCGGGATCGAATCCCACGTCGGGCTCCCGGTGCATGGAGCCTGCTTCTCCCTCTGCCTATGTCTCTGCGCCTCTCTTTCTCTCTCTGTGACTATCATAAAAAAAAAAATTAAAAAAAATTTAATATGCTTCATTCCAGTGCTGTTATAAGAAGCAGAAATCTGTTCAAGTTAGCTAAAATGAAAAAGTGCAGCGCAAGGGGTTGTTACTGTAAAGCAACAGTGAGTTCACAGAACTGAAATCTAACAGAACCACCCAAAGCAAGTCACAGGCAACTGTCCACTCTCACCATCTTTTGTGCCTGCATAGCTGCCTGTGATGGCTAATTTTATATATGAATTTGACTGGGCCACAGAGCACCCAGAGAGTTGTTGAAATATTTTTCTGGGTGTGTCTGTGACGGTGTTTTTGGATTAGATTAACATCTGAATTGGTAGACTAAGTAAAGCCGATTGCTCTCCCTAGTGTGGGTGGATCTTATCCAATCAGTTGAAGGCCTGGATAGAACAAAAAGGCTGACCCTCTCAAGAGTAAGGAGGACCTCCTTCTGCCTAGAGAAAGTCTTAAGCAGGCCCCATGCTCACTGCAGAACCTAATACAGGGCTTGATCTCACAACCCTGAGCAGAAATCAAGAAGCTTAACCAACAGAGCCACCCAAGTGCCCAGAGACATTGTTTATTTTTTCCCCCCACCTTTGGACTCTAACTAAAACCCTGGCTCTTCCTGAGTCTTGAGCCTGCAACCTTTAGAATATGCTACACTATGGCTCTCCTAGGTGTCCACCTTGCCAACTGTAGATCTTGGGACTTAAAAGCCTCCTTAAAGCCTGTAATTATATTACACAAACCAGTTTCTTAGAATAAATCTACATATCTATCTATCCTTCCTGTTTCTCTAGACAACCCTAACACATTGCCCTCTTCTCTGCAGATCAACTTCTGCCAACGCAGGATTTCTACTTCACCTAAATTTGCCTCATGTACTGGCTTTGGTTACTCCAGCACTTGCTCCATTTAGGAATAACCATTTGGTCAAATTGCAAAAAAAGGAATCTGATAGGCCCAGTTTGGGTCAGAAGAGGAGAAAGGAAAGTAGGGTCAGAGCTTTATAGTATAAATATACCATCTATATCTAGAGCCACCAGTCCGACAGGGGCTGTGAGTACAGGGAAAATGCTGCCATGGGAGAGGCAGGCAGGTCTCCCAGAGCATTTCAATACCACTGAAGATTTTTGCTTCTTCTCTTGATCCTTGAATGCCATGATGTTAGCTATTTTGGCATCTTCCTAATAGGTCAGGACAAGGTCCAGTGGCGTCTGTGACTTTTGAGCTTGTTCAGTCATGGCATCCCACTCTGCCAGTCTACGTGGGGGAGGGGGTAGATTTTTGGCAGCAGAGAGAAAAACCAGAGTTGGAGAAAATCTCCATGATTAGCCACATCTGTAAGGGACCCCAGTGGTAACAGGAGTTGGAGACCAAGTGGTAGTGGTGGTGAGACCATCTTTGCTTTTGCCTTGTGATTTCAATGAATAATGTCTGATAAAGGGTCTGGTGAGACTGACCTAAGGGGCAAGTTCATGGTTAAAGTAGACTCAGGGAATCTCAGACAGTTGTAGTGTTTCCAGTGGTCCAGAAATCTAAATTTAGTTCCTAGCCTAATCTTTCTGAGTCTCATTTTCCTCAACTGTCAAGTGGAGATAATGAATTTCCTATCTCCCAAGGTTGTTGCAAGGGCCAAAGAGGAGATGCAGGTGGGAACATGCAGCGCAAAGCATCATCTGATGGTGACCCTTGGGCCTCACTCTTCTTGCTTTAAAGCTCCAGTCATGGATGGGCTAGAGAATTAGGGGGACAAATCCACCTTTCCTGGAGACCCTTGACATAGCAGGGTAAGAAGTAGAAACAGCAGACACAGTCAGGCTGCCCAAATGCAGATCTTAGGGCCTGTGACAGCCACACCGGCTCTTGTGGCCCCCTACCTGCTGACCATCTCTGCAACGTAGGCATCATTCTCTTTATCACTGCTCGGGGGCAGTCCTCTGATGTCTTGTCACTTCCAAGACCAAGGCTGAAATCTGAGATATATGCACTGATTAAAAGCGTGGATTTGGGGGTGCCTGGGTGGCTTTGTCGGTTGAGCAGGTTAAGTGTCTACCTTCGGCTAAGGTCATGATTCCAGAATCCTGGGATTGAGTCCTGCATCAGGCTCTCTGCTCAGTGGAGAGCATGATTCTCTCTCTCCCTCTGCCTCTCCTGTTTGTGCTCTCTCTCTCTCTCTCTGTCTATCAAATAAATAAATAAAATATTTAAAAGAATAAAAGCCTAGGTTTGGACATCAAATATTTGAATTCCATTCTCCATTAGGTCTGTGACGTTAAGTCACATAAGCTCCCTGTGCCTCAGTTTCCTCATTTTAAAGTAGAAGTGGTTTAAAGGCCCTACCTCACAGAGCTATTGTGGGAAGTAAGTGAGACAAGAGTGGAAAGCACCTGTCATGGTGCCTAGCCCATGGTAAACGCTTTGCAAATGTTGGTTATTACTATTGAGCCACTGGCACTGTTATCCAAGGCTGACTGGCAGAGTGGTGGTGACTGATTCAGTCCATCCTGGCTCAGAATGTCCATTCTTATAAGTGAGGATCCTCTTTTCTCTAGGACTGTGGTCTGCACATCCCCATCACAGGTCCCAGTAGGAGGTCATCTTCAGTACCTCATAGGCAGCCAATTAATGTGAAGTCTCCTGGGCCTCTACTTTGGTCACCCATGGTTACCCATGGTTACTTAGCCTTAGGAACCAGCCTTGCCAGCGGGTGTTCTGGGTGGCTTCACACAAAGATAAGCTTCAGAGGGTACCTGTGGCTCCTGGTCTGGTCCTGGCCAGCTTCACCTGGGGAGCAAGGGCTGAGCTTTGTTAGAGTCAAATGTCTTTCTTTGCCACTTCATCATGCTTAGCCCCAAGGTGCCAGAATCCAGGCCACTTTATAGTTCCAACAAAGGCCAGATCCCCCTCAAGGGCTGGAATAACAAACTCAAGAGCCACCAGATTTCTACCCAATTCCAACCCAGAGGGGACCCCACCCACCATTCCAGAGGTCCCTGTTCCCACAGCCATGGGAACAGGTCTGGAGGTGTGAGCCACTTGGCCAAAAAATGAGAGTTCATGTACAGAGCCCCCTGCCCTGAGTGAACACTGGATTGTGAATCAGGAGGCCAAAGTCCTTTTTTTTTTTTTAAAGATTTTATTTATTTATGAAAAACAGAGAGACAGAGAGAAAAAAACAGGCTCCATGCAGGGAGCCCGACGTGGGACTCGATCCTGGGTCTCCAGGATCACACCCTGGGCTGAAGGCAGTGCTAAACCGTTGGGCCACCGGGGCTGCCAGAGACTTAAGTTCTAAACTTGGCACTCACATCATCAGCCAGCTGTGTGACCTAGGGCAAGCCACTTATCTTCCCCAGGCCTTAGTTATCCCTCTAGAAAATGAGAAGCCTGGAGCACATGATCTTTAAGGTCTCTTCCAACTCAGGTGTAGGATTATAGCATAATGCCAGGTATACACATAGTAGGGGGTTGAAAAAATGTTTATTTAGTAACTTATAAGATTCAAGGCAAGATTCTGCAGGTCCGAACACCCATCTCCTTCCTCACTGTGAGTTTGCCTCTGCTGTTAGCTAATTTATGTCAAGTGCCAGCTCAGGGCCTGGCACATAATAGGTATTAAACCAATGTGAGCTGAATCTATATATGCAGTACATTTACGGTAGCCCAGAGATTGAAGACAGAACTGACCAAACATCCAGAGCTGTTCCTGGGATCTCCGGGTGGTCACTCCTTGTTACAAGCTGCCTTCCCTTCTGGGCATAGTGAAAGTCATCAATTTGGGACTTAGATTGATTTGGGACTGGCAAACATCACTACTTTTTTTTAAATTTTTTTTATTTATTTATGATAGTCACAGAGAGAGAGAGAGAGGCAGAGACACAGGCGGAGGGAGAAGCAGGCTCCATGCACCGGGAGCCCGACGTGGGATTCGATCCTGGGTCTCCAGGATCGCGCCCTGGGCCAAAGGCAGGCGCCAAACCGCTGTGCCACCCAGGGATCCCAACATCACTACTTCTTATTCCCTCTGCCTATAGCACCTGTCAGGGGCTGGGATTTACCCCCACTTTCAAGCTAACAAGCTAGCCTGCTGTTTTTTCCTAAATGCTGGCAGAAGACCCGGTTTCCTGAGTCAGATCCAAAGGATCTACCAATCTTGGCACAGCAAGCAGTGTGAGCATCATCTTTATGTCTCTTTCCCTTGTTTCCTAGTTTCACAGGGGCACCACTGAGGGGCCCAGGTGGATATTACCCATGCAGGAGCTTTATGTCACAGCTACGGTGAGCACTGTGCTTCGAGAACTCACCCCGTCCCCTCCTACCACCACCACTGTTATAGTTAAGCAACAAGCAAGCCTGCTCTCAGCCTGGGAGATGTTCCCTCATCCCACAAAGTTGCTGGCTGCAGAGCACAACAGTAAGAAATGGTTGGAAAGCAAATGGGCGACCGTGGCTTTGCATTTGAGCACACTTGGTGACGAGAGCCAGGGCCGCTCAGGCCCCATGGTAGACTGCCTTGCCCAACAATGCCCAGCCCCCATCTCTGCTTCTCACAATTCTAGCCACCCTCCAGAGACACTTCATTCTGAAAGCTTTCCCAGCCCTCTTATCACACATACTCTCCCTTTCGGATTTCCTTGTATCCATCTCCCCATTTCACGTCCACAGCTGTCCCTCCAGTCAGAAGAGTGCTACACTGTGAGGGCAGGAGCCCTGCTTCTTAATTCCTACCTTCTACACCAGATTATTTGCATCCCACAGGTGCTTAGGCCGTATTTGTTGCGTGGGAGGAATCAAGATTTTCTTGCATGCTTATGCTTTTGCAGAGTCTCCTGGGACTGCCCCTCAGAATGTTTTCAGGATTCCGGAGGCTAAAAATATCTCTCCAAAGCCACCCCATTGTCTTCCTTGTAAGGAGCTGGACTTAGCTGTGAGGCGGGAGGTTTGTGTCCACCAGGTGGCGCTCCACCCTTAAGTCTCCAGATGCCTTTTTTAGACGACAGAACTCTCCCAAGTGTTTATTTGGTTAGATCCCCTGCTCACAGAGGTGTTTGTGTAGCATAACCCCGTCTCCAGCCCAGCACCCAGATTCAGCCTCCAGGTGCCTGCCTAGCTCCAGCCCTTCTCAAGATTGGCACCCTGAGGTTGTCTCACCAGGGATGCTGAGAGAAAGGCCCCAGAATTGGGATCAGAAGACCTACGTTTGAGTCTCCACACTGACGCTTAGCTAGTTCTGTTTCCCTGGGCAAGTTATGTAACCTTTCTGGGTCCTTGTAAGAGTAGCTGAGAATAAGTCATGGGAAAGTATATATAAGCTCTTTGAATGTGAACCTGGAGTCAGCCACACCTGGGCTCCTGTTTAAACTGTCATCCATCAATTCTGTGAACATGGTCACCTTCCTTAACCCTCTGAGGCCTGGTTTCCGTGCCAACAAGTCAGAGTTAACATTGCCTAGAATATAGGGGTGCCTGGCTGGCTCAGTCGTTAGAGCGTGTGACTCTTGATCTTGAGGTCAGTGAGTTCAAGCCTCACATTAGGCATAGAGCTTACTTAAAAAAGAACGAGTGCCTAGAGCATAGTAAGCATTCAATTAATAATGATGACATGAGTATTATGTATCCCTAAACCCTGAAATGGTGCCCAGTGCCCAACAGGTGCTTAATATCCATTTGCTGAATGTAAGGATTTCACAGATGAGGAATCTGAGGCACAGTACGGTTAAGTGCGAGCACGCGCACACACACCAGGTCCCAGCACGAGGGAGTGGCGAAGTGATGATGCATCGCCAGGGAGTCTGCCTCCATGGTTTGCAACCTAAGTCTCTAGACCATGCTATCTTATGTAGATATGGATGTTATACATCACCCTTTATTCATTTAAAATAAGTGTTCAGAGCTTTCTCAGGTCCCTGTAGGTGAGGCTATTTTGGCTGTGAGAGGCATTATTCCCCTGAGAAACCACTTTTTCCCATGAGGGGTGCCAGGCTGCTGGAAGAGAGACCTGCTCAGCCAGGCCAGCAGGCCAATGGACACATCAGATGACCAGGAGATGAGGGACTAGTTCTGCAGGTAGGGTCAGCTAGGGGACTGGAGCATGCATGATCCCCGGGTAAGAGGGCCCCCTGTTTCATCGCTGCTCCCACCGCCACTGGGTCATCCACCCCACTGACATTTATTGGGTCTCCTATGTGCCAGGCAAAGATAGAGGTGACAACCAAGAGTTGCAATGTACCAGACCCAGGAGTATTGCAGAACTACTGCGTGCTCCAAGAGAGGGCCTAAAGAGCCAGCATTCAACAGCCTGGGAGGCTGGACCAAAGGGAGAAGCATTCCAACTAGGCATTGAAGGATAAACAGGGGCTTGCCAGCCAACTGAGGTCTGGGAATGAAGGGCATTCTGAGCTTATTTGGGGGAACCTAAGAGGTTTGGTGGGGTTGGCATGCTGGGTGGGAACATGGGTAAGGAAAGGAAGTAGAAAACCAGGAAAGTGAAAGTCAGTTGGAGCCAATTTGTGAAATATGCCCATAGAAGAGAGAGAACTCTATCCTGTGGTCAGTGGAGAAAGCAACGCAACACCAGGTCTGTGTTTTAGAAAGATGTCACAGTGCATGAAGTTTGAATGGGATGGGGAGAAAAGAGACACCAGCTTCATGGTGTTAACCCCTCTAGACTTCATGTCTCCTCTTCAGTAAAAGGAGGAAAATAATTGTATTTCTGAGGTCGTTTTGAGGCTTAAACGGACGTAAGTGTAAATGACAGTGTAAAGCATCATTAGGTTCCATTAGAGGCCACGATGCCTAGTAGTTAAGCACGAAGGCTTTACTGTCTCTTACCCCAGGCCTGGTGTCCTGGCCATGTTGGGTAGCACATTTTTAATCTAGGCAATTAAGGATGTTGCAAAAGTGAGGATGGACGCTTGGCTTTGGGGTATGTGGGAGGGACAGTGGGGTCTCTGGTAGGTGATGGTCCCTTGAGAGCCCAGCTCTGGACGGCGGGATAAACGTGAGGGTGGACACGGGTAGCACCTCCCAGATGTCCAGGTGGGAATGGACGTATGTCAGCTTCAGACCAGCGCTGTCCTCCGCCAGAGCCAGGAAAAGGCCAGGAGGCCCGGGTGGGCCCTAGGGCAGGAGAGAAGAGAAAGCAAGGGGCCCAGCCAGAGGCTGAGAGAAGGCTTCAGAAGACAGCTCTCGGCTCCGAGGCTGGCCGGGAGCCGGAGACAGGCAGGGCGGGCAGGGTGGCCCCAGATGTGCCAAACTTGGCCGGGGCGGCCGAGCGGAAGGCCCGCGGAGGGCCGGGGGCGAGAGTGCCCTGAGCCGCGCCCCGGGCAGGAAGGAATCCGAGCTGGGAGTCTGGCGCCGCCGGAGAGGGGGCCGGGGTGGTGAGCGAGGCCCAAAAGGAGATGGCAGGAAGCCGGGAGGAGCGAGCGGGGGTGGAGACGGGGTGGGAAGGCGGAGGGCGGGTAGGACTGGCGGGGAGACGGGGAGAGAGGAGGGCTGGAGGGAGGAGAGAGCGGAGGAAGGGTGGGGAGAAGGGGAGAGGAAGCGCGAGGAGGGCTCGCAGGGCGGCGCGCAGGCCGCGGCGGGCGCAGTGGGCACGTCGGCCAGGCCACCGCCGCGAGCCGGGCGCCGCCACCCCGCTGCTCGGGCCTCCGCCTCCTCCGCCTCCTCCTCCTCCTCCTCCTCCTCCGCCGCCGCCGCCGCCGCCGCCGCGCCCGGGGGCCATGCTCCCGCCGCCCCCGCGCCAGCCGCCGCCCCAGGCGCGCGCGGTCCGCGGGGCGGTGCGCCTGCACCGGGCCTTCCTGCGCGGCCCGCTGGGCGTGCTGCGGCTGCTGCAGCTGCTGGCCGGCGCCGCCTTCTGGGTCACCATCGCCACGAGCAGGTACCAGGGCCCCGTGCACTTCGCGCTCTTCGTGTCCGTGCTCTTCTGGCTGCTGACCCTGGGCCTCTACTTCCTCACGCTGCTGGGCAAGCACGAGCTGGTGCCGGTGTTGGGCTCGCGCTGGCTCGTGGTCAACGCGGCGCACGACCTCCTGGCGGCCGCGCTCTACGGCGCCGCGACGGGCATCATGATCGCCCAGACGCGGAGCCACAGCTACTGCAACCTCAAGGATTACCAGATGGCCTGCGCCTACCACGCCTTCCTGGCGGCCGCGGTCTGCGGCGGCCTCTGCCTCGGCCTCTACCTGCTGTCGGCGCTCTACGGCTGCTGCCGCCGCTACCAGGGGGAGCAGGAGGTGGCCTGAGCCGCCGCGCCGCGCCGCGCCGCACCGCGGGGCGGCGACCCCCCCCCCCCCCCGCCGAGGCCGGCGCCCGCGTCCTCCCCGCCGCCCCGCGCCCGAGCGCCCCCCGGCGGCCCTGCGCCCCCGCCCGCAGCTCCCGCCCCGCCGTCGGCAGGGGCCCGCGCACGGCCGCATCCGCGGAGCGGGCCCCCACGCTCAGCCCGGCGGTTCGAGGCGAAACCTCGCGCGTGCTCACCGCCTTCCGTGCGGAGAGCGAGACGTGGACAGGCGCCGCGTAGATCCGGGGGAGGCTCCCAACTGCAGCCAGCCTTCGGGCCGCGCCACGGCCCCGCCCTCCCGCCCCGCGGTCGGAAGAGCACCCCGGGCCCCTCCCCGGGCCCCGCTTCCAGCAGCCGCGGGCGGAGCCGACGACCGGCCTCCACCGGTCTCAGGACGAGCCAGGAGTTTCGTTTTAGCTCGGGACTGTGCGGGCGCCCTGCGCACCCGGGCCCGGAGGTTGGGGCGCGGCCCATCTGCAAAGGTGAGGATGCATTGGGAAGGCCCGCGGGCTGCGCCTTGGCACGTTTGGAGTCTTCTCTCGCCTCCGCCTGCTGCGCCTTTGTCCTCGGGGTCCTTGGAGGCCAGGCTCACACGCACACTAGTTTCACGGGCCTCACCCTCCCAGCCTTCTTCTCACGGGTTTCTGCGCCATCACCCCCACCTCTCAGTATCTTTTTGCATCAGGGGTCCCACAGAACCCTGAAGGAATGTCCAGGTGAGCCTCACCCCTTGCTCTTGGCAAAGCCAAAATAAGGTTAGAACTCCGTTTCTGGATTCCCATTAGAACCCCCCCCCCCCCCCCCGTTTCCAGACTCCCAGTCCAGCACTGTTTACATTAACGCAGTGGGTGTTCCCAGGAATCCTGGCTCAGGAGCTACCCTCTAAAAGAGGGTGTCGGTGCCAAGCCAAATGGGTTTGTCCAGGTGCTATCTCGCCTTCTTGGAGATTCACGATGCTCATTAGCATATCAAAGGCTCTGAGAAGTCCTGCTGTAAAAGAAGCTCAAGTGATTTGGTTTACAGTGTTAACTGCCTCTGGACCTGGACCAGTTACTCTTTGCCACCTAAGACTTCCGAGCATCCCTGTGCTGGCTTGGCTCTCATTCTTTCCTAAGGGATCCAACCCATTGGCTGTGGTATGATTGAAGATCTGGGGTGCTCCTCTTTCCTAGGGAATTTCTCTAGCAGAGGGAGGGCTTGCCTCAGTGGGGGAGAAGATAGCCATCCCTGCCAGGCCCCGGAGAGACCTGGGAGTCGGTAGATCGGAACATTGCTCTACATTGTTTGAAAAATGAAGTCAAGGTTATCCAAGTGGTTACCTACTCAAGAGGAACATTATCTGTATGAGATGCTGGCATTGACTGTGAGCAACTGGCAGGAGTGGGTCTCATTCGCCAAAGACAGAAGAACACTCCGAGTTGGGGTGAACAGCTGGCCCAGTCTCTGTGAGGTAAGGTGCTTCTTGACTTTCTGGAGGGGTCATAGGCCTTTGAATAAAAAACACAGAGCTCTCTTCTCTAAAAGTTAACAGGTTCTTATTCAGGAAGCAAGTTGGAGGAGTGATCGCAACTCCCAAAGAGTTGTACCAACTCAGCCTTTTTGCTACATCATTCAGAGGCTTGCTCTTTGAAAAAGCTCAGCCCCGTCTGGATTAGAAATTAGAATAGGGGAAGCCAGAATGTTTTTGTGAGTGTGTTTTTAAAGCTTGGGTAGACAGGTTGAGGCTCTTCTGTTGTAGTTGTGAAGATCTGGGAGCTACATAGTGTGGAGCAAGAAAGCATTTATCTGGGCTGTGTGTGCCTGGCACTGTTTGAAGCTCAGACCTATTTGTTTCTTTCTTTCAACCCAATTGAAGAGAGTTCTGTTATTATTCTCATCTTCCCTAGGAGGTTACGTACCTCGTCCAGACTCTCCCAGACGGTGTGCCTGGTAGAGCTAGGATCTGGACTCTGGCAGTTTGGCCTCTTGAGAACAGGACTGCACTGCATAGAGTACGGGGTCAATACACATTAGACACTGTTAATGTGGCTACTTAAAAAAAAATTGAAATAAAATATACACAGCATAAAATCGACCCTTCAACCATTTTAAAGTGTACGGTTTGGTGGGCATTAGTAGGTTCACATGGTTGTGCAACTGTCACTACCATCTATCTCCAGGGCGTTTTTCATCTTGCAAGACTGAAACTGTGTACCCATTAGCATTGTGGTTATTTTGGTTGTTGTCGTTACTGTTATTTTCCCTCCTTGGAGAAATCCTAAAACACTGGGCCCTTCACTGTCTCATGTAGGCTGCAGTCCTGCTACCTTCTTCCAGCCGGGGCACCTGTTCTCTCAGACCCCACTGCTCGTGTGGGCCAGAGCCTGGGGTTGGTCTTTGCTGGGATCCTTGGCCTTGGAAGCCTCGTGATTTTGATTCTTCTGTTGCAGGTTTCCAGGTACAGAGATTCCCAGGGCTCGCTTCCCTGGGCAGTGGACCCTGTTCTGGCCTGGGCCAGCAGAGAGGCTGCCGAGTGGGGAGCGCGGATGACCCCTGCCCAGCAGCTTCCCTTCAACATTATCCAGTGGAAGATCCAAGATGCGTAAAGATTCATTTTACATTGACACATGAGAAATTCTGAGTCTCTCTATGGTGTGCCTTGGGCCCAAGATTCCAGACACCTGGAACTGAGCCGTGCACCTCTGTGCTCTGAACAGCGGGCTTTAGCTCCAGCTTTTGTCCCTTTTCTCTCTTTCCAGATCACCATTGAAATTGCATCCTCAGCTCAGAACCAGCTCAGAACTGAGGATCACTTCTTAGTCCCCCAGCTCATGGTACTCTATGGTCAGGTGACCTTACTCAGGAGTTGACCTCTCCTTGGCCTTCATGGTACCTTATCTCTCCAGATGTGCCTGAAACATTCCAGAGCTCACCGGCTCTTCTAGATGTGCCTTCCTGCTTGGCCTTCAGCTGCTTCTCTAGATGTGAGAAGGGCGTGCAAAACAGCCCCCACACTCATCCCCTCCTCCCCTGAGACCCTGTTCCATAGGAATGGCCACTTGACCTACTGGCCCAGAATTTTTGGATACTGGAGGCAGTCTCATTGGCCTCCCTTGTTAGAATCCAGGACTCAGTCCTACTTGAGACCATTGTGGTTCTACCAGTGCAAAAATCTAGAACTGACTGTGGATCTAAGAGAGGATTTTTCTAGTGTTCTACAAAGGCCAAAAGAGAGGGTGAGAGTGGGAGGGGCCAGTAGCCAGAGGGGACCTATGTGCCTCATTTAATAGTTTAGTGGTGATTACTAATTTGCTTTTCTGAATAAAGTTTGATTTGTCTGATGTTGGTGTACATGTCTTCTCTCCCGGCCCCCTGCAGCAGCCCTACGTAGGGAGGGAGGACCGAGCCTCCCTCCATCTTGCTATGCCACACTCTCCTGTTTTCTACCTTCCCAGCTTCCGCTTTCCTTCTCAGAGGGGAAGAAAAATGAGTTCACAGGTTTTCAGTGCACTTAAGGCAGGACACTGAAAGCAGAGGGAAGAAAACTGCCTGTGTCTGCCCCTGACAAAAACTGGTGGGAATTCCAGAGGCTCCTATCCCAGCTCTCAATGACCCCTCTGTTTTTGGAAGCTCCACTCCCTGATGGGCAGGCACAGAATGACTATGGTTATGGAGCCAAAGGGTCCTGTTCTAGTCTGAATCCCTTCTTTTGCAGAAAGGGAAATGAACCCCAGGGAGGAGTGGGGACTTGCCTAGTGTCACAGAGCTGAGTGGGGTGTCCTGGGGCTCAGGCTCAGGTGCAGACCATAGCACCTGCCTTGGTGTTGCCTCTTGGACACACCCCACATGGTTTACCCCTGATTCCAGCCACAGCCTGATGAATACGGAGCTTCAGAAAGGCAGGAAAGCAGAGTTAGCTGGATTCCTTGCCAGCTCCTCCCTCCTGTGCCCTGGACCTGAAGTCTGTAGCCAGAACATAGGATTTTCCAGCCAGAGCTCAAAACTCACTTAGGACACCTCCAGGCAGGAATCTGATCCCGGGTGTGCTCCACACCCACTCTCTTCCAAAGTACCCTCCTCGGCACAATAAACACACACACACCCTCCTCTTAATGGTTTGGATTTCCACGGTAGAGGAAATCGCAAGGACTCTCCCTTATTCCCCTTTTCCCCTTGTATCTATTCATGAATTTTGCACACATAAAAAGTGGCCTCCCTTTATGCAAAGGCTGGTAAGCCCCTTGCTCTATTGCAACTTTGTGGAGAATTTTGCAGCTGAAAATATGCTTCTACTTGCATGACTTTATTTGATCGAATTAACAGCCTTACTGGTTGGTGTTGTCATCTCCATTTAATAGGGGAGGGGAGATAGAGCCTCAAAGAGGGGAAAGGCCTTATCCATGGTCACAGCTGGATATTGGCAGGACTGGGACTGGAAGGCAGATGTTTTCTCACTACCCTTGGCAGCTGGTAAGTCCTTTTGGTCCTCTGGCAGGCTCTGAGGTTTCGGTGGAGTTTGGTTTTCATTCCTGCAGATCAGGTATTGAGGACTGATCTAATCTGACATTTCCTATTCAATGCTGGGGGCACTTTGAAATAAGACACTGTTCTTCCGGGACATAATTGAGTCTGGGGAACCTGAGGGATTTGCTCATTTATGTCTTTTACTTTTCCTGCTTTTCTGAGGATGGGGGTGGGTGGTCAGTGGTGAGAAAGGAAAGCTAACAAACCTACATTTTCAGGGATAAAAGGGGAAGAGCAGGAATGTGAGAGAGAAAGGTCTGATTAGCACTATTTATAAATTTTGTATTGTTTCATTTGTTAGAGTAGTTATTTGTAAAATAAAATACCAATATATTTCCATTAAACATATAATAGCAATATATACCCATTAAAAAAATTAAACTGGGCAGCCCGGGTGGCTCAGCGGTTTAGCGCTGCCTTCAGCCCAGGGTGTGATCCTGGAGACCCGGGATCGAGTCCCACGTCAGGCTCCCTGCCTGGAGCCTGCTTCTCCCTCTGCCTGTGTCTCTGCCTCTCTCTCTCTGTGTGTGTGTGTCTCTCATAAATAAATAAACAAAATCTTTAAACAAAAAAAATTAAACTGTTCAGAAGGGCACAAAGTAAAAAGAGAAGCCATTCATCCTAATCTCAAATGCTAGAGATAAACCATTGCTAACTATTAACTCTCCTTTAATTTTTATAACTAATCAAACATACATGGATACATGCACACACGTGCACACACACACATATATACATTTGACTAATTTTACAACTTGTCCTTTAAAATTAATGATAATAGGGACACCTGGGTGGCTCAGCGGTTGAGCGTCTGCCTTTGGCCCAGGGTGTGATCCTGGAGTCCCGGGATCGAGTCCCATGTTGGGCTCCCTGCATGGAGCCTGCTTCTCCCTCTGCCTGTGTCTCTGCCTCTCTCTCTCTCTCTCATGAATAAATAAATCTTTAAAAAAATTAATGATAATATAGCTCTAACCCTTTCTAAATGTCCATGCAAATAGAGACTGCAAGCATTTTGTGTACTTTCTGGAACATTTATAACTTTCTCACATGGATTAACTCTGTCACTCCCATAGCTGCTTCCTGTAGAGATCTTAGTAAAACCCTTCGGGGTGGGGGGGGTGTCCTTTTTTTTTTTTTTTTTTTTTTTTTTACAGATGAGTAAATAGAGGCTTAGGAGGGGAGGTGAAGTGATTCCCCAGGTCTGTGTTCTCCATGCCTCCACATTGCCAAGAGTAGCAAGGAGCAGAAACAGCCCTGGGGTGGCTGCATTCCACTTCATAGCCAGTCTTGGGGGAGAGGAACACCAGGGACCAAGTGTAGTGGGGGCAGCTGAAAAGAAGTGTAAGGTAAGGGAGAGGTATATGCTGAGGCGGCCAGAACCCAAAGGAGAGCACCTGGCATAGCCAGCACGCGAGTGTGGACCACCCATGGCAACCTCTCAGCCTGTAGAAATTCCAGTCAGGCTCCCAACCCAAAAGCCCTTTGCCCTCCCTGCTCCATGACCCCATTCCTTTTGAACCGGATAGCTATTTGGGATCTTGCTGGCACTAAGGCTGTGACATTCTTTCTTCAGCACTGAGGTGAGGGCAAATTCCCAGAGGCAGTTCTCTGCAGATTCCTATCCGTATTTCTCACAGGTGGAATGCAGGCTCTCCTTGTGGCCATCTCCAGGAGTCCTGAAGGGGGCGCCCTGATGCCCCAGTTGTAAAGCACTTCTGAGTCCAGCAAGGTTGGCAAGGAGGGAAAGTTAGGGGAACTAACTTTGTGAAGTGTCTGCAATGAGCCAAGAACAAGCCAGAGGATACCTTATGCAACAGCTCTTATCATCCTCACAAGCCCATGAAGTATTTTTTTAATGAAGATTTTATTTATTTGAGAGAGCAAGAGAGGGCAAGAGCACGGGGGAAGGACAGAGGGAGAGGGAGAAGCAGATTCCCTGTGAGCGGGGAGCCCCATGTGGGGCTCCATCCCAGGACCCGGAGATCATGACCTGAGCTGAAGGCAGATGCTTAACCGACTGAGCCACCCGAGGGCCCCGCCCATGAAGTAATAAATACCCCTATTTGCTAGCCGTGGGGACAGGCTCCGAAGAGTCAGTTGATTTCCCCAGGTCACTTAAGTGACAGAAACAAGATTCGAACTCAAGTCTACGCTACCATGCCACGCTGTTTCAGAGGACTTCCCGGCAGACAACCTGTCTCTCCAAGCCATCCAAAGACCCCACTGAGAGCCACGCTGGGGTTTCTAATAGCTGTATTGTGAGCTAAGGCAGGAAGGAGAGACTGTAAAGAAAGTGCTGTCATTACAGATGGGAATTGTGCCAGCTACCGCCGTCTCAATTTACAGTGAAGTGAGGTTTAATCAGCTCAGGGCGCCGAAGCCACTCTCCTGGTTCCTGGAGGCTCTGTGTCCGCCTGAAGGAAGCGGGACGTAGAGTGGCCCTCCGCTCAGCCCTCCTGAGACCTCGTGCCAGCGGTATGGCCACCGGCCCTGAGCCCATATTTGGATGCAGAACCCTCTGCCTTTTGAGACCTTGCTCTGTACTCTGGGCTGTCTCCTTCTGTGCCTCCTAGGCAGTTAGTATGACCAGCTCTCATTCTTGGGTGAGCTCAGCCTGTCACCTCAGAAGTGAGGCCAATCTCTGATTAGTTGTCTGTTTCTTAGGCAATTTACTAAAGCTCTTCATCGGGGATCCCTGGGTGGCGCAGCGGTTTGGCGCTTGCCTTTGGCCCAGGGCGCGATCCTGAAGACCCGGGGTCGAATCCCACGTCGGGCTCCCGGTGCATGGAGCCTGCTTCTCCCTCTGCCTGTGTCTCTGCCCCTCTCTCTCTCTCTCTCTCTCTCTCTCTCTCTCTCTCATAAATAAAAATTTAAAAAAGAAAGAAAGAAAGAGAATAGCAATGGAAAAGAGGGAAAAGCCCTCTCACAGACAACCACAAATCAAGAACTGGGAGACCTGGAACCAGCTTTCTGGGAAAGCTGAAAAAGAGGCAAAAGGCCAATCAGGTATAAGAATGGTGCTCCCAGGGATCCCTGGGTGGCGCAGCGATTTAGCGCCTGCCTTTGGCCCAGGGCGCGATCCTGGAGACCCGTGCTACAGGGCAGAGTGCCTGGCACCTAGTCACTGCGGGACAGCTCTCAGCTGTGTGATATGGTTGGGAGGACCTCAGAGAGCATGTTTGTAAAGGGCAGACCTGAGCCACAGTAAGTGCTCATGAGCCTTATTTCCCTTCTCCTGGGCTCCACCCTGCCTCTCCTCCAGACCGAGAAATGACAATCACCAGCCACGGATTGATCCTTCTACTCTTCTTTCTTGTGCTCAGATTTGAGCTTTCTTGAAAGCACAGAAGTGTTAAAAATCACCGTTATCTACGTGAAGATCAGGATCCTCTTTTCTCCAGAGTCCAAGGTCCTTCCTTGCCTTCCTTTTTATTCCCTCACTCTTTTTTTAAAGATTTTATTTATTTATTCATTAGACACAGAGAGGCAGAGACATAGGCAGAAGGAGAAGCAGGCTCCCTGCGGGGAGCCCGATGTGGGACTCTATCCCAGGACCCAGGACCACCACCTGAACCGAAGGCAGACGCTCAACACTGAGCCACTCAGGTGCCCCTTTATTCCTTTTGATAGTCCCTGCAGTATGCTCTGTGCTCCCAGCAGAATCCCTGTCTGTCTCCTTTTAGCCTGGAAGGAGGACACCTGTTCTCATCTTGTTTCTTGAGATTCCGGTCCATCTAGAGAGAGATAAACTGACCGTGTATTCTCAGGTGTCAGTAGTGAGATGTGCACAAACTCCCCTTATTATGTGTTTGCAGAC